AGACAGAATTCTTTGAAAACCAGACTACATGACCACATCAAAGTGATTTTTATTCTTAAAGGTTTTTTGGGGAGTTGGTAGCCAGTATTTTTTGTAGCTTTTGATACGTTATTCAGTTCAGCTATCATTTACTTAAGACTTTAACTGTGCTCAGGCCTGAGAATATGAAATTTAAGAAATTTATGGTCCCTAAGGGGGCTTTAACACTAGTAGGGGAGATTTTTTTTTTTAATCTGTTTTCATAGTGTAATATACATAGTGCAGTAGAAGCATTTTTGAAATATAGAGATGGGAATGATTTTGCTTGAGGGCAGTTTATTGCAGAGTGTAGGGAAGACACAAAAGAGGTAATGGTTTGAACAGGGTTTTAAAGGACAAATAGGAATTGGTGTGTAGGTTGGGGTATATTGAAGTAGGTAAAGAGCCTTATGTATCATGTAAAGGGCTTAATCTACACATAAAAAAGTTCTTGAGAGTGTTTATTAAAGAGTGTTAAGCAGAAAATGAGTCACATTTGCCTAGTTTTGAAAGTTTATGGGATATATTTGAGAAGGGGGAGATCGGAAACTTGGTATATATGTACAAGAGGCCACAAGTTTTCCTGAAGCCTGTATTCATTCATTCAAGTTACTGAGTGCCTTCAGTGAGCCAGATACTGTTCTCAGTACTGTTCATAGTAAACAGAATGGAAGCTCTTGAGGAGGTTACGTTCTAGTGAGGGAAAACAAACAATAAAATACATTTATGATTGTTACGAAAAAAAAATAAACCTGGATAGATAGATGATGACTGTAGGAGTTGCTTTTTTACATAGCGTGGTTGGGAAAGGCCACTGATAACGGTGACATAAGAACAGAGATCTGTAGTAAGGGAGGGAACCAGTGCAGATGGTAGGGGAAGAAAGGAATAGTATGTGCAAAGGCTCTTTTTGGCCTGTTGAAGGAACTGTGAGGAGGTTTATTTGGCTAAGGATGAGAATGTGTGTGTGATAGATGTGGTCAAGAACAGCACAGTAGGGTTGGGGCAGATCATGTAGAGGCCTTCTGGGTTAAGATAAGAACTTCCAAGATTTTATTCTTAGGTATTATAAAAGTCTATATAGACTCATTTGAATGTGTCCATACACTGTCTTGCCTGTGAATATTAATGGATGTTGATTTTTCATTAATTAAAAACAGAAAAGGTTAATAGTTCTGGACATGGAACTTCTAAATGAGGGTTAATTTAGGTTGATACATGCCACCTCTGATCACTTCTAGAGCAAATAATCTAAAAAAAAATAGGACTTTGAAGATATCATTCTTTTATATATGACAAAATTAGAAGCTTAGAAGTTATTAAGGATTTATAGACAAATCCTTTGTTAACCTCTTTCTGCTTCCATCATTTCCTACTTGCTGCCTAAAAGTTTGTGCTTATGGTAATTTTCTTAAACAGATCCAAAGGTCAGAAAGGAATTAGAAACTTTCCGTTTGAAAATGTCAGTTGTTATGGTATATATATGTGTGTGTTTTCTTTTCTCCTCACTCTAGGGAACTGCTCGCCGAAAGAAGAAGGTGGTTCATAGAACGGCTACAGCAGATGATAAAAAACTTCAGTTCTCCTTAAAGAAGTTAGGGGTAAACAATATCTCTGGTATTGAAGAAGTAAGTGTCAAATTTTATTTCTTTATAAAGCAAGTTTTTGGTTGGAAAAAGCTTCAGTGGTCATGCATTATTTATTTTTTATTTATTTTTCTCCCAACAGAGAATTTCATATCCCTCTAAAATAGATTTCTATTCCACTAGTGAATATTAGGGAGTGCTAAGTCTGAAAGAGATTAGATTGCACTTTCCATTCCAGGCAAAATATCATTTGTGCTTCACAGTGAAATAGTGGATTAGTTAGCCAGCCTTGGGCTTTTCCTTAATAGAATGTTTGGTTTTTAAAGAATTTTGGTGGGTGTTGCTAATTACTTTTTTTTTCTTTGTAGGTGAATATGTTCACAAACCAAGGAACAGTGATCCACTTTAACAACCCCAAAGTTCAGGCATCACTGGCAGCGAACACTTTCACCATTACAGGCCATGCTGAGACAAAGCAGCTGACAGAAATGCTACCCAGTATCTTAAACCAACTTGGTGCAGACAGTCTGACTAGTTTAAGAAGACTGGCTGAAGCTCTGCCCAAACAATGTGAGTTTTCTGTAGTGGTTTTGCCCAGGGTTACTGATTTATCAGGAAATTTCTAAGATCTCAAGTAGATAGGAATATCTTTAAATTTAGAAATGACAGTTTTCCTCTAAAAAGTGCCAGTTTTTACAGTGACCTTTAACCAGGTGTTCTTAGTGTGTTTAGTAAGTTAACTAGTATGCTGTGATCATTATACTTGATTCAGTGGAATGTTTTCTATCTTGCTTTGGATCAATGATTTAAAATTTTTACCTTTATCAGCTGGAAATGATAATGTTAATTTGGGGCTTTTTTGATAACTGAAAGTTTAGAATTAAAATATGTTATAAGTTGTCAAATTTTTTCAGTCATATTTACAAGTGGTATTACCAGTAATGTTTAAGAATTGGCCTGGCATTATTCGGGTCTTTTTAATTATAATACAAGGATTTTGTTCAGGGCAGAAAATCTTGTAGTTGAGTAAGTGCATTAAGAGACATAGTTACTTTATGCTGTGGTCCTCTGATTAAAATTTTGAAGAATGGCAATGTAGAAGACAGACAGACTTATTATATGGTCCGTTATTTAGTCATCCATGTTTTTCTAGGCATTCACTCTTTCTGCTTTGACATTTTATATACATACAGTTTTGGGGGTTTTTCCGTGTGTGTGTGTTTCACAGTGAGAGGCATAAGAAAATCTAGAAAGTCTTAGGCCTTCAGAGCTAAAGTAGGCTTTGGAAATACTGAAAATCTGATAGGACTAGTACTGTGAGGTCTCAACTCCCAAGTGTAGTTCACTTTCTTCTGTATTAAAAAGAAAGTTGATGCTTACCACCAATCAAAGGCACTTAATTTTTTGATCATTTTATTTTCATTTCAGTAAAGGTTTGTTAAGCATCTCCCATAAGCCATGCACAAAACAACAATATTTGAGAAAACAGTCTCTTAATTTTTGCTTCCCAAAAGAAATCTTCCCATAATTTGGCATATGGGTTTACCTCTACCCTGAGGGCACTCTGTTGTTTTCATAGCACCTCAGGGCCTGTGGTGGGCCAGAGGGATTGAAAAGATGGGGATGGGATTTGTTTTGTTGGCTGTTCACAGGATTCCAGTTCATTTGTAGACCTTGGGCTACCATGTTATTATTAGTATTTAGGGATGAAATCTCAAATGTCACTGTTGTCATATGAATGTAAGTTGTAACAACACTTGACCTTTCATCTGTTCTTTTGGTTAATGTTTATTAAAGACGTAACAAACATGTAACCTATACATTTCCCTTTCACAGCTGTGGATGGAAAAGCACCACTTGCTACCGGAGAGGATGATGATGATGAAGTTCCAGGTAGGAATCTTCACTTATGGCCAACGTAGAGTATCTTAGAAGGAAGAATAACAAATCTTTATATTGTAGGAAAGCCTCCCTTGGGGGAAGTGGTAATAAGGTAAAGGACAGGAAAGGAAGACATGAAACCTCGCTTAGAATGAAAATAATGCAGTGTTATTATAACTAGGAGTTATGTTTGTAGAATGGAGTTTCCAATCAGAAAAAGCCCAAATATTGAACAAGCATGTATGTTGTCACATAGAATAACTGGTAGACCACTAACGACCCATTTCCTATTTAGGGATTAATAAATTGATGAGAAGGCATGGAGAAGTTCAGGTATCTTGGGATATGGTATAACCATTCTAAAATCAAAAAAACTCTTGGCAATCAGGAGGGATTTTTCTGTGTTAGCTGTTACTTGATAATTTTGTTGTAAAACATGTTTATTGAGCAGGAGAATCACTGGACTGAAATATTTCCACTTTGCATAGACAGGTGTCTTTTTGGAATCCAGGAAAGCTTCATATTGTTTGTGATGGTGTTCTTTGGTTCTGACTCCTATGTTTACTAATATATTAATATTGCTTAATTTTAATTCTTGGGGTGAAATGGAACTAGGGAGGGCATGTACATATTTTTTAAGAATAGTATTTATGTCATCAGCAGATGAATGAATTTCCCTTCTTCCCTTGTTTTAATTACATGCCAAAATGTACACTTGAAAGTGTGCCAAATGGGTAGTGGTCTCATTGAAAATAAAGTATTTAAACGTATACCCTGATTTAACTGTAGGATATATTTTGAGAGCATTTTTAATCTCTTTAGAATCTGATGATTTGTAGATTTGGGTTTTTTTCAAAATTTCTGTCTTTTTTTTCTAGATCTTGTGGAGAATTTTGATGAAGCTTCCAAGAATGAAGCAAACTGAATTGAGTCAACTTCTGAAGAACATAAAACTTGAAGAAGTTACTGGGAGCTGCTATTTTATATTATGACTGCTTTTTAAAATTTTGTTCGTGGATCTGATAAAATCTAGATCTCTAATATTTTTAAGCCCAAGCCCCTTGGACACTGCAGCTCTTTTCAGTTTTTGCTTATACACAATTCATTCTTTGCAGCTAGTTAAGCTGAAGAAGCCTGGGAATAAAGTTTGAAACAAGGTTAATAAAGTTCTTTGCCTAGGATATGGTTTTATTTTTTATTTCATTGACACTGATTTGTACACAGAAAGCAAAGTTGTTTATAGAAAGCTAATCATGGCATGTAATATGGCTGGTAATTGATGAAATTTAATTAAAGATTTTAAATGGCCATATAATATAACAAAGGTGTGGTATAAAGTTCTCATGTTTTAAAACTTGTCTCCAGCAGTCCTCAGGGCTTCAGTGATTTATGTAATGGGTATAAATTATAAAGAATGGAATATTGCTTAGTGGGTAAGCAAGAGGTTTTTTTCTCTTAATATTGTCTATATTGTAAGTATATACTAAGTGCCTTCAACATATTATTGCACTTAATTTTCTCATTTAATCCTCAGTCTATGAAGTAGGGATTTGTAGCTCCATTTTTTTTTTTTTTTTTTAAAGATTTTATTTTATTTATTTGACACAGAGAGAGACAGCTAGAGAGGGAACACAAGCAGGGGGAGTGGGAGAGGGAGAAGCAGGCTCCCGGCCGAGCAGAGAGCCCGATGCGGGGCTCGATCCCAGGACCCTGGGATCATGACCTGAGCCGAAGGCAGACGCTTAACGACTGAGCCACCCAGGTGTCCCTGTAGCTCCATTTTCTAGTTGTAACTCAAGGTTACCTAAAAAAAGTGGAAGTAATCTCTTAACTCTCTTCCTTGTAGGATATTCTGTAAGACACCTGAGAAAAGCTAGTGTTTGTATTGGGAATGTCACCTCATCTTAAATTTAAAATGGTAGAGGGCTACCTTTTTCTCTTAAAAAAAAAAAAAAATCTTAAAGTTGACATGTATACAGTTTTAAGAAATTTAACACATAGTATTTGTGCCTGCATCCCAATCAGGATACCGAACAGTTCCATCATCCCAGATATAAGGCTACTTAAAAAAAAAAAACTGTATTAGCAATCATAATGTTGAAGTAACTTAAAAATTTACAAATGGCAATTAAGATATGTGTCATCTGCATCGAGGCAAATGAGAAAGAAAATTGTCTTAGTTTCTACTTGTAGCCATAAGAATTCATTTTAAATTTACATAACAGTTTGCAAGTACTTTCTGAGGGTACTATGCAGCTTTATCTAAAGTCACTGTAAGCAAGCTACCAAAAATGAAATACTTGTATAAATAGTATTTGCACATTTTAACATTGTATTGTTTTCAAAGGATGTGTATCAGTCTTGTTAAAGTACACTGCTACAGTAACAAAGACTTCACAGTCTCAATGGTTTACAAAATTACAAAGAAAAAGTACATGTTTCCCAACTATAGTGGGTCTGGTTGGGCTCTGCTACATAATCACTCTAGGCCCCAGACTGGCAACCTCTTCCTGAAACTCTGCTTCCTGGCAGAGAGAAGAAGGTGGGTCATTTGCTGGCTTCTAAAGCTGTTAGTCACAAAGGTCACTAGTATGTAACCGACTAAGTGGAATGGCTAAAGGAAAGCAGAAGATTGGGAAGGCCTGGAGTGGGGCCTGTGGGTTTGCGTTTCTGATAAGCTCCCAGGTGATTCTGATATTGCGGGTCCACTGACCATGCATGCTTTGAGGAGATGAGATTTTAAGTTAGAGATTTCCTCAACTCATCCCAAGATACTGGGGTGAAAGTGACAGGCTGACTTGGGCATGTGAAGAATGCCACTCTTGAGTATCCTCCCAGGTGGTTGCCCAAGATCTGTATGGGAATGGGACTAGAGAAGTACAATAGATTTCCAAGCCTGTCCTACACAGGGCAACTTGCTGCTTTTAGCAGAAGCTGGCTAGGGCTAATCCTGTTCTGCCCGTATCCAGAGATTTTTCTCCCAACCTTGAGAAAAGTTTTTTTGTTGTTTCATTTTTTTTAAATGGTCTGTTGTTTGTTAGTGGCCATAGATTAATAAGGTTTTTCTTATAATACCTTCAGTATCGTGATAAGCAGGGTTATGCTACAGATGCAAATGACTTAAAATTTTAGTTGCTACAAAGATTTGTTTGACACCCTTGATGTTTGTGGTTTGCCTGTGGCTGGGATCCACTTTACTCCAAGGGTAGCATCTAATCGGAACATTGCTAGTTTCAGGACAGGGAAAAGAGGGCAAACGACCAGCTGGCTCTGCACACTTATGTTGGGAATTGATGCACATCATTAATCAAATTTCATCAGCCAGAAAAAGTCACATACATAGTCCAGTCTGATGGCTATGAGGACTGAGGAAATCTAATACTCCCTCAGAGCAGGACAGCACATACTTTTGAACAATACTACAACCCACCATATCCTTATAATTTTTCTTTAATCTCCCACAATCCCTCTGGCTATTATATGTTAAGCTCTGTACCACTCGTTTTATATAATCTTATTGGTTATCATAATAACTCCCCCCTCCCCCAAAGAGTCACATTGTACAAACAAGGAAACCATCTTCAAGAAGTGAGTCTCAGGTCAACACAGCTTGTGTGGCAGTATGAGATTCACACTCAGGTCTGATCTTTTGACCTCAGGCACTACTAGAAAGAATGTCAAGCCCTGGTGGACTAGTAGGGCAGATGATTGTCATCTGGTTGATCTTTTGGATGTTGTCACTACATGCTGGTTGTTGTCCACTACTTTTAAGGCTAGCCCTGGGCCAAACTAGCTTTCAGCTGATTCTGAACCAGGCCTATGCTAATGAAGAGATAGATGTCAAATTTTGATCTGAGAACTCAGGATAAATACCTTTTATTTGTAGGAATAATTGAACTAAAGTACACATGTGTCATCCCCATAATAACCCGGTGGTACACAGGACAGAAAGCTACATTCTAAAATTTGGAAACACGTTTAGAAATGGGCTGAAGGTCCCTGAAGGTCCCCAAAGGTTGGGTCTGATTTCTACTAATCAGACTTTTCTCCATTCCATAACACTGAATTCATGCTTCAGGAGGCTCCTCTCTCCCCAATAAGATACATATGTTAATTTTTTTTTTGGAGCGAAGTCTTAAGGTAACATAACAGTTTTTAGCTTTTCCAAAAACAATGATTAGAAAAGTCTTCTAGTCACACAAATTTTCATCACTCCAATCAACACAGTCTTGAATGCCATTTCTGCAGCAAGTTCTGGGAATGCAGGCCCAGTCAGCAAAGAAAACAGTATCACATCTCCAGCCTGAACACTTTGAGCACTGTAAAACTAGACAATGCTGTTTATTTTTATTTATTTATTTTTTATTTATTTTTATTTGTTTTAAGATTTTATTTATTTGAGAGAATGAGAGAGAGAGAGAGAGCACACGAAAGGGGGGAGGGTCAGAGGGAGAAGCAGACTCCCTGCTGAGCAGGGAGCCGGATGCGGGACTTGAACCTAGGACTCCAGGATCATGACCTGAGCCGAAGGCAGTCGCTTAACCAACTGAGCCACCCAGGCGCCCAATGCTGTTTATTTTTAAAACCTAACTTAAAATGTCAAGGTGGACTGGAAAAGATGCTATTGGAAAAGAAATAGCCCTTTGGATCTTAAAAATATTAGTGAAAGCTGTCCAAGTGGAAAATTGCAGATGTCTATTAAAGATTCTACATGTTTGAGTGAAAGAATTTGTACTTTGAAAAGCCAAGAAGAGTACTACCCCTCTCCATCAGTCTGAAAATAAACATACTGACACACTACATAAATAAGGGAGGGTCCATATGAGTTTACATGTTCAATAAGCTGGGAAGAGAATCAGTATTTGCTAATTGTCAGCAAGAAGACAAGGATCCGATTATACTTTTAGCCTTTTGTTGTCAATGCATCGTTAGGTAACATGCAACTCCTAGGAAGCTTTTCTCTTTCTACCTTCCATAATGACCAGACAAAAGGCAGGAAATGGTCTATTAAGTGTACAATATATATTTTTTAAAGATTTTATTTATTTATTTGACAGAGAGAGACACAGCGAGAGAGGGAACACAAGCAGGGGGAGTGGGAGAGGGAGAAGCAGGCTTCCCGCCAAGCAGGGAGCCCGATGTGGGACTCCATCCCAGTCTCATGGTTTCAGGTCTCTGAATGTAATCCTGAATGTAAATATCCTTAGGAAGGTTTCTAAGTATAAATTAATTTATGTAGTTGAAATGTAAGGGTATCTACTCCAAGAACTCATTAAAACATCAATTACGGGCATCTGGGTGCCTCAGTCAGGCATCCGATTCTTGGTTTTGGCTCTGGTCATGATCTCAGGGTCTTAGGATCGAGACCCACATGGTATCTCCCCTTGGTGGGGAGTCTGCTTCCCCCTCTCCCTCTGCCCCTCCCCCTGCTCATGCGCGTGCTCTCTCTCTTAAATGAATAAATAAATCTTTAAAAAAAACAACATCAATTAAGCAGGGAACCTGGGTGGTTCAATCAGTTTTAAGTGCCTGACTCTTGATTTTGGCTCAGGTCATGATCTTAGGGTGGTGAGATCAAGCCCCAGGTCAAGCCCTGCTTCAGGATCTTCTCTCAGCGGGGAGTCTGATTGAGATTCTCTCTCTCCCTCAGCCCCTGTTGCTCCAGCTGCACTCTCACTCTCTCTCTCAAAATAAATAAATAAATAAAAGTTTTTAAAAAAACCCCAAACTTCAATTAAGCCAAAGCAATTTTGAGAAAGAAGAACAAAGCTGGAAGCATCAAAATCCGATTTCAAGATATACTACAAAGCTATAGTAATCAAAACAATATGGTACTGACACAAAAATAGACACAGATCAATTATGCAGCCATCAAAAGCAATGAGATCTTGCCATTTGCAACGACGTGGATGGAACTGGAGGGTATTATGCTGAGCGAAATAAGTCAAACAGAGAAAGACATGTATCATATGACCTCACTGATATGAGAAATTCTTAATTGCAGGAAACAGACTGAGGGTTGCTGGAGTGGGGGGTGGGGTGGGAGGGTGGGGTGACTGGGTGATAGACACTGGGGAGGGTATGTGCTCTGGTAAGCGCTGTGAATTGTGCAAGACTGTTGAATCTCAGATCTGTACCTCTGAAACAAATAATGCAATATATGTTAAGAAAAAAAAAAGAAGAAGAAGAAGGTAGCGGGAAGGGAAGAATGAAGCGGGGGAAATCGGAGGGGTAGACGACCATGAGAGACGATGGACTCTGAAAAACAAACTGAGGGTTCTAGAGGGGAGGGGGGTGGGAGGATGGGTTAGCCTGGTGATGGGTATTATAGAGGGCACGTTGTGCATGGAGCACTGGGTGTTATGCACAAACAATGAATCATGGAACACTACATCTAAAACTAATGATGTAATGTATGGGGATTAACATAACAATAAAAAAATTTAAAAAAATAGACACATAGATCAATGGAACAGAATAGAGAGCCCAGAAATAAACCCATACCATATGGTTAATCTACAACAAAGGAGGCAAGAATATACAATGGGGAGAAGACAGTCTCTTCATCACATGGTGCTGGGAAACCTGGACAGCTACATGCAAAAGAATGAAACTAGACCACTTTGTTTTTACATCATACAGAGAATAAACTCAAAATGGATTAGAGACCATCAAATGTGAGACCTGAAACCATGAAACTTCTAGAAGAAAACATGGGCAGTAATTTCTTTGACATGGGGCATAGAAACATTTTTCTAGATATGTCTTCTGAGGCAAGGGAAACAAAAGCAAAAATAAACTATTGGAACTACACCAAAATGAAAAGCTTTTACACAATGAAGGAAACCATCAGTAAAACAAAAAAGCAACCTAATGAATGGAAGAAGATATTGGCAAATATCCAATAAGATATTTCATAAGATATGAAATATTGGATATTTATTATTGGATAAGACATATCCAATAAGAAGTTAATATCCAATTAAAAAATAGGCGGAGGACATGAAGAGACATTTTCCCAAAGAAGACATACAGATGGCCAACAGACACATGAAAAGATGTTCAATATCACTAATCATCAGAAAATGCAAATCAAACCCACAATATCACCTTACACCTGTCTGAATGGCTAGTATCAAAAAGACAAGAAATAACAAGTATTGGGAAAGATGTGGAGAAAAACAGAATTCTTGTGCATTGTTGGTAGAAGTGTAAATTAGTGCACACACTGTGGAAAATGTTACGGAGTTTCCTCAAAAAAATTAAAAAAAGAAATGCCACGCAATCCAGTAATTCCACTACTGGATATTTACCCAAAGAAAACAAAAACACTAATTCAAGAAAGATATATACACCCTTATATTTGTTGCAGCATTATTTACAACAGCCAAGGTGTGGAAGCAGCCCATGTCCATAGACATATGAATGGATAAAGAAGATGCAGTATATATACACAATGGAATATCAGCCACAAAAAAGAATGAAATCTTGCCATTGTAACAACATGGATGGACCTAGAGGGTATTATGCTAAGTGAAATAAGTCAGAGAAAAACAAATACCATATGGTTTCACTTATATGTGGAATCTAAAAAATCAAACAAATGAATAAACAAACAAAAAGCAGAAACAGATCCATAATACAGAGAACAAACTGATGGTTGCCAGAGGAGAGGGGGGGATTAGGGGGATGGGTGCAGGAGAGCGGGAGGTACAGGCTTCTAGTTATGGGATGAATAAGTCACGGGGATGAAAGGCACACAGGATAGGGAGTAAAGTCAGTGGTATTGTAATAGCCTTGTATGGTGACAGATGGGAGCTACACTTGTGGTGAGCATAGTGTAACATACAGAGTCGTTGAATCATTATGTTATACACCAGAAACTAATGTAACATTGTGTGTCAAGTATACTTCAATTAAAAAAAAAAATTATGGGGGTGCCTGGGTGGCTCAGTCGTTAAGCGTCTGCCTTCGGCTCAGGTCATGATCCCAGGGTTCTAGGATCGAGCCCCGCATTGGGCTCCCTGCTCGGCGGGAAGCCTGCTTCTCCCTCCCCCACTCCCCCTGTCTGTGTTCCCTTTCTCGCTGTGTCTCTCTCTCTCAAATAAATAAAATCTTTAAAAAAAAAAAACCAAAAACTGTTAAATTACCCAGAGTCCCAACAATGCCATTATCATTAGCTTTTAAGATTAAATTTGAAGGGGCGCCTGGGTGGCTCAGTCGTTAAGCATCTGCCTTCGGCTCAGGTCATGATCCCAGGGTCCGGGGATCCAGCCCCGCATCGAGCCCCGCATCGAGCCCCGCATCGAGCCCCGCATCGAGCCCCGCATCGAGCCCCGCATCGGGCTCCCTGCTCCGCGGGAAGCCTGCTTCTCCCTCTCCCATTCCCCCTGCTTGTGTTCCCTCTCTGGCTGTCTTTCTCTCTGTCAAATAAACAAAACCTTAAAAAAAAAAAAATTATGGCAAAACAAAAACGCCATCAGTTACCATATAGGTAAAGAGTAGGAACATCCACAATCATGGAACAAGGCAAAGTGAGGCATTTTCCCCCCTAAAATATCATTTTGGATAAATATAAAACATCAGTTATTTTCATCACATAAATAATATCTGGCAAATTGGATTTATAAATCACCATAAAAAAACAGCAATTACATGTATTTTCAGTTTTACTTGATTCATCTGATGATCTTTGTCACACACCTTGTCCATGTATGTCCAGTCTTCTGGTTGGGACCCTTGAATATCAAGTTTTGCTGAGCATTTGGCTTATATTATATAGAGGCATTATTTCTAATAGAAAACATTCCTGCATGATAACGTTTTAAGTATAATTCTGGATTTTAGTTATTAGTTGCTGGTGACTATTCTTTAATTTTGATTATCTGACCACCTCACCCCAGCAGGTAGCAGATTCATCTTTGCCGTGACCGCAGTCCAATTTGCTGTTACAAAGCAGGGAGCGTGGCAAGTGAGTCGTGAGATCTTCACACAAGAGGCCAAGTTGCTGTGAAGCTGTTTTACATTGTCCATATGGCAAATCTGGAAGATTTGTAAGACAAGTACTGCATGTAGGCATATGCATCCATGACCATGAACATCAAGCTTTAATAATACAATAACCTGTTTCCTCCTTCCTCTTCTGCTTCTTTCCATTGTTCTTTCCCCCATTATTTCTTCTCTTCCTTTTCTTTCTTTTTCCTCTTCCATCCTCCCAAACCCTCTAGGCTTTACTTAGTTTCCATTTCTCGCAATACAACTGGCATTTGGGCAAACAAGTGTGGACTCACTCTTGTCTGAGAAGGAATGAGTGAGGTGACTGAGAAGGAGTCAACAAGGCTGGGCTCTGGCTTGAGCTTTGCCTCAGACTGGTTCTGTGTAGCCCCCTCCACTATTTTCTTAGCTAGAAATGGGAACCAAGAAAGCTTGCTACAACAGCTTCAAGAGGATGTTGAGTTAAACTGGCATCACTGTTTAAATGCAATGGATCTTCTCCCTCAGAAATGAGTGGGAGTTTGTCAGAATAATGTGATGGTATTTAAAAAATATTTTTGAATTATAAATTTTGAATTTAAGATGTAAAGAGCAGATTGATAATACTTAAATCTCAAATATAATCTACACCTAAGATAATGTATCTCCTGAAAATTCTGGTTTGGTGTATGGAATGGTAAACAAGCTGGAAATTTCACTTTAGATTTAGGTGTAGAGTTGATGAGGGTTTTGTGAAAGTGCATTTTGCATCTTGAATGTTTTGTAGTTGGAACTAGGTTTATAAGTAAGAGGCAGATTAACACCACAGTTTGTATTCCCTTAATCCACAAGGTGCTTGGCATTGTGATTGTAGCTTACTTCTCTCAAATCACTAATGATATTTAACACCCCACCCATCTAATTTAATACTAAATTATACACTCTTCTATACTGTTCACCATTTCCCTAGTCTCCCTAATTACAACACAAACTCCTTGAAGATAGAGTCAATGTTCTGTGTAAACTTCAGAGTTGGGCAGACCTGGATTGGAACCTTGCCTTACGGTTTTACCAGCTGTATGATCTTGGGCAAGACTCCCTGCGTCTCTCTTCAAAATGGTGATAACAGCCACCTCTCAAGATGGCTGAAAGGAATGAAATAAAGATGAGATATATTTAATGTTCAGAGCAATGGTTGGCACATTCCGCATGCCAATTGCCTGTTGTCCGTAGACTCATCCCAAATCACCCATCTCAGGAGACTCCGCTATTTTGGAAATATATGGGGAATAAATATATTCTTGTTTGTTGAGGGAATTATTGGCAGATCTGCCACGTAGGGGACACACATACTTGCAGGTTTTACTGGTACCCCAAAATTGATCCCAAGACCGGTCACAGCAGCCATAACTCTGAGCACAAGGAAGGCCATGCAGAAAATCTGGACACATTGCCTGGTGGGAGGCCAGCATTGCCTGGTTCCAGCAGAACACAAGCACAAAGAACAAGTCTGCATCTCAGGGCAGAGACTTGTGTTGAGGGCCTTGTTAACTAGCTAGGTGTTGTCCATCGTTATCTTAGGGTGAAAGGGGGTAGCCAAAATGGCAGGACCTTAAATCTATGCTTTGAGTTATAGTGGTGCTTTCGATGTCTACAGTCTCTAATTTAATCTTCTAACAAGTAAGTTTGACCAGCCTTCTGACAGGTGAGTTTTGCTCTCCCAGTTGTGCAAATGAAGATTTAAAATGAAGAAACAGATGGGCACTGAGTGATGTATGGAATTTTTAAATCACTACATCATACACCTAATATAACCAAATAAACTAGTATAACAAAAACCTGAACTGTAAACTAAACTAATATAACAACAACAAAAAGAAATACATAAAAAATAAATAAAATGAAGAAACAGCCAGTGAGGTGAAATAGCTTCTGAGGTTTATGCTGGTATAAGTAGAATGATGTCACCTCAAACCCAGATCTTCTCTTTCCCTACCAAGGTCTATTTGTACTATGCCAATGTTTTCCAAAACCTGGTTTTCAAACTATCTACGTCAGAATCACTGAAGGAAATGCAGATTCCTGCCTCCACACCCAGACCTGCAGAATCTGAGTGTCTAGTGAGTGGGGCAGGGGGTCTACATATGTTTGAGCTTCTCGGGTCATTCTTATCCACACCAAAGCCTGAGAACAAGAGCCATATACCCAAGATGACATGCAGACTTTGGTCTTGGGTTCCAACCAGACATTCCAAAGGCTGTCACTTGGTGGTTTCTGGAGTTGGCAGTCCTTGAGGAGCAGGAGAGGCGAGCTGTTTCCCTTGAGGGGCTTGGCACCACGAGAACTGGCCTGACTGGTTTTATTGGCATGCCATGAAGAGAAAAACAGAGTGCTCAGTCTGCTCCTGATCATTTTTGTCCAAGTTCAGCAGCCCTACCTTCCCAAACATGGAGACCCTTGGTGTTTCTGAGGCAGCCCGCTGGCCCAAGTTCCTGAATATCTCTGAACCATCTTCAGGGGCCCAAGTCTGCAGCTGTGGCACTTCTGGACCCCCACCCTAGGGAAATCAGCATTCAAACCCCCTTGTGGGCAAACAGTAGATTTTAATAGAAGACAGATGGGATGGAATCTTTTCTTGGGAGCCACTCCTAGACTCTAAGGCTTTTGTCCCTTTGGAACGATATCAAGTACAAATATTAATTATTTTCTAACACTTAATAGTTTAAAGGAATCAACAGCCCTGTCATGTAGCTGTGAACAGTCACTTTATTGGTGAAGAAACTTAAGCTTAAAGACTCTCAGTGTCGCAGCCACTAAATGCTAGAACAGAGACTAGAACTCAATCAGACCTCCAAGTCTTTTGGCCACACCACAAGGCTCCAGAAAATTCTCTCTGCTGCATCACAAAAACCCTGTCAGCCCTTGCTCCTCAAACAGGAGTCTCCAGCTCCTGAGATCAATGTTAATTTGCCCTTCCCAAGTATCTACAGCCTTTAATATGTCCTTAATCTTTAACTTAGAAATCCCACTTTTAGGACTCTCTCCTATGCATATAATAGGATATACAGAGGGCGCCTGGGTGGCTCAGTTGGTTAAGTGGCTGCCTTCGGCTCAGGTCATGATCCCGGAGTCTGGGGATCGAGTCCCGCCTGCATCAGGCTCCCTGCTCAGCAGGGAGTCTGCTTCTCCCTCTGACCCTACCCCTTCTTGTTCTCTTTCTCTCACTGTCTCTCTCAAAAAAAAAAAAAAAAAAAATAGAACATACAGAATAAAGCTATATGTAGGAAGATTTTTTTACATAGTGCAATTTATAATAGAAAATACTAAATGCTAAACAATGCTAAAACACTTTAGTCACTTTAAATATTAAATACCTGTTTACTAAAATTGATTTAAAACCTACTCAGTTTTATGTATGATGGGTTCTCAAAAGCATAAAACTATTAAATAAAAATATTGAGGATGAAAAGGCTGGAAGAGTTATCCGTGTCTCTGGATAGACGCTCATTTGTTTATCATTCATTCCTTCAGCAAATATTTATGAATACCTATGTCAGGCAGTGTGCTGGACTCTGTAGATACAACAGTGAACAAGATAGATCGATATAGTTTGCCGTTGGTGAGCTTACAGTCTGGAGAACAATGTGATTTTTAGCAGGAGGGTTTGCATCAAAATCATTAGGGGTTACTTTTTAAAAATTCACATATTTCATGCTTCGTTCCTGAAGATTGGCTCACTGAGTCTAGGATGGGTTTGGGGCAAAATAAAAATTTTTGAAAAGCTCCCTTGGTGATTGTGAAACACAGCTAGGACGAATAGGATGATAAATACTCCTCTAGAATAGAGCTCTCCAAACTTTTATGACTGTGTATCCCTTCAATAACAAAATAAATAAATGAAATAAAATTAGCATTCCCCCACAATATGTAAATACTTATTTATAAATCTACACCTGTACTTGCCCACTAATATATGTATTGTAAAACACTGTCCAAAATTGAAATTTAAGAAGGATGAAATTAAATTCTAATTTTCTAAAGTTCTAATATTTTTTTTCTCTGACCCCACTGGATTCCCTTGTGCACCCTATGTGGTTCATCTGGAAATTATTTCTCTACTCTAAAGGATAATGAGGCTGTGAGTGGCAAACAAGAAAGGAAGCTACTTTTTTTTTTTTAAGATTTTATTTATTTATTTGACAGAGACACAGCGAGAGAGGGAACACAAACAGGGGGAGTGGGAGAGGGAGAAGCAGGCTTCCTGCCGAGCAGCGTGCCCGATGTGGGGCTCGATCCCAGGACCCTGGGATCATGACCTGAGCCAAAGGCAGATGCTTAACAACTGAGCCACCCAGGCGCCCCAAGGAAGCTACTTTTAAGAAGTCATTGCTTATTTAGTGTGACAGTCCTGAAAGGTATTCAAAAGCTAATGCAAAAACTAATTATTAAAATAGAATTAGAATTAACATAGACCTGTGTCATTAAAATGGAATTAGAGCAACAGAGCATGCCTTCATTACCTCAGGGGCTAATGTGCAGCTGGAAATCATTCGACCGCAGGTCAGCAGACATGAGGAAACTTTATGGGGTCTCTGGGCCCTAAAACGCGTCTTAACTAAGCCAGAACACCAAGCCGGGGGGAGAAGGAATTTTGCAGACTGAGAGAGGAACAGAGGGGCTTACACAAGGCCTGGAAGCCTGAGGGCCTGCAGCGGCTCAGGACAAGCCTCAGGCAGTGGGATTCAGAGGTGCCTAGGGGCTAGAATGTTGAGCTGGGGTGCCCACCACCCTTCATCCTGCCAGTTTCCTCATTTGCGGCTCAGACTCCATCTGGTGCAAGACCAACTTCCAAACTGAAGGGGGCAGCAGAAAGCAACGAACAGGCCCTAATTGCTTTTAAGATCTTTTCAGCCCACTAAGTGATGGCCACCATCCTAACTTGCTCTGGAGTGGCGCTGACAGGGAGGACCACAAGGACCAGGAGCCACTCATGTCTGTCCCATGCTACTCAGGAATGACTGGCTAGCACGTTTTAAAGCTTTTGGAGGTAAATCTGCGGCCACACGCCCCTGCCACTGTGATCGTGTTTCCCATCTGTAAGCAGCATGAGGATTGTTTAAGCACCTACGTATACACTGTCTCATCAACTTCGGAGTGAGTTGCTGAGGTAAATGGGATTTGCAGGACCATTTCATAGTTGAGGAAACAAATCCCAGAGATGTGAACACCTGTCCAACCATGGAAAGCTAGTTAGTGACAGAGCTGGGCTTAATAGAGTTTAACTTCTTCTTGTCTCACCTTTCTTGGAGTTCATGAACAGTTTCCCAAGAATCTGCAAATATATCCTGTAAAAAAAAAAAAAGCTAAATTTTTGTTTTCATTGTGATGATAATCTGCAACAGTCATAATAAGCATAATCTGAATTATCTGGAGGATCACAACTGAGAAATGGAATATATCACCAGAATCTTTGTTTTTATCCTTTAATTTGGGCCTCTCTTTGAGTTTATACCAAGCAAAATTCAGTGGACTTCATGGTATGCTCTATCACTGAGATTTTTTGCAGCAGACTGAACACAGAAATGTGGTGGGAGAATTGAGTCATCTCAGGACCCACAAAATACAGGCATGACAGACTAAAAAGTAACTTGCCCCATAACATCCATGTCCACATTTCCAGTAGATGTGCACTGAGGTCTCAGTCTTTGATAATATCATCCTTTAGTTATTAAATTAAAAAATATTTTAGTAGGAAGTATGCCCTGAAGAACGGTTCTGTTCTGGAGCACAACAATAACTGGATTAGTTGTCCACTGAATGCAGACTAGTATCTTCAAATGAAGAGAGAACCTTAGAGTTTTCAAGTGACATCTGCATTGCGCGCCTACAGTGTTCGTTAAGTGAAAGTTTTGTTTCTCCTGAACTACAAACAAAGGGACATATTAACACTCCTGTTTTGTATGCAAACAGGCATTCCCAGGAGTTGTATTTTCAAACTCACAATACGGAAACAAAAACTGAGCTAACATTTTTTCTACCATTAACCCCAAATTGACATTTTTATGATTCAGAGCACTACTACCATCCACTTACCTATCACATTAAATTAATTTGCAGATCTGCATTTTACTACCTTTATGGTAGTTGATTTCTATTTTTTCTTCAGTTATATAGTAATCTATAAACATGGAGTTTATACATTGTTTCATGGTTCTACATATTGAAATAACATTTTAATAAAAATTAAAATGAGAGTACCTGGTGAGCGTTGGGGCCTGCAATCGTTGTCCAAGAGCGGGATTCCTTCAGTCCCCCGGGGGCCGGAACCCACAGCAGAGGGAGCTGTCCTGTCTCCCCTCTGCGTCCCCTTCCCGCTCCAGGATGGCTTACCTCCGAGAGCTGCTTACAGATTCCTTTCCTTCCCTTCTTCTGCACCATCAGCCCCAACTCCTCCCTTCCTCTAACTCCCTTCTTAGCTCCTGGGCCCATCAGGGGACTCTTTCTTGGGAAAAGTTTTGAGATCCTAGTCTGGTCCAATTACCTTATTTTCCACATGAAGACGCTGGGGTCCAGATGGATAAAGTGACTCTAGTTCAAGGTCACTGGAGACCCTGCCGCTGCCGGCCTTCGTGGTCCGTAGGGCAGGGATCAGGCCCACAGAAGGAGCCCAGGGAAGCTGCAGTCATTGCCTGCCCCGCGCCTGCTCCTCTCCGGTTTCCAGCACGGGAGGGAGACCGCGCCGCTGACCGGCCGCACGGCACTAGGGGAGGCGATGACCCTCCCGCCCGCCGCCGTGGCGCCTGCAGCTCCCGGCGTCCGAGCCTCCTGCTTCCTCCGGCAGAGGCCGGTGACAAACGGACGGCGGGAAACCTGAACCGAGACTTGGGTCTGCTAACGGGGCAGTCAGGCCCCCGGGTGAGCCTTCGCTCTTCGACGGGCCTCCGCGTCCTCTTCCATGAAACCGTCAGGACACCAGGAGAATTCCAGTGTCTCCCAGTCTTCCCTAAATCTAAGAATCCCTTGGAGTGTTTCTTAAAAACCCAAATTCCTGGGCTCCAGCCCAGATTTGGAATATCTAGGGGAGATGCCTGGCAATCTGTGTTTAACAAGGGCCCGGCTCATTGCTATCAGCAGGAAAACGCAGAAGCTGTGAGCCCTCCAAAATTGTGAGTCAGCCAAAGCCTCCACAACATGACGGGTGCGACTGTATGAGGAGGACCCGGCAGGCAGGGGCAGCTTGCCCCGCTCACAGGACTGCTGTCAGAGCGGTGAATGAGTCAGCCAGCGAGTCTGAGGGACTAAGAAAACAAAATGGGTGAGTTTAATCAGAGGAATTAATTGACAGAGGACAAGGGCAGGCTTTGTGGGGGTTTCCCCCCCCCTTTTTTTATATAAAGATTTTATTTATCTGAGAGAGAGAAAGAGTGTGCACAAGGAGGGGGAGGGCCTCAGGGAGAGGGACAAGCGGACACCACACTGAGCTTGGAGTCTGACACGGGGCTTGATCCCAGGACCCTGGGATCATAACCTGAGCCAAAATCAAGACTCAGATGCTCAACCGAGCGGGCCATCTAGGTGCCCCAAGGGCAGGCAGCCCCAGGGACAGAGACTACTATGAAGGAGCAGCGGTGAGCTTTTCTGGATGACAGGGGCTCGACCTGTGGAGGAGGTCTGGCCTGGACGGCCAGCTGCACTTCCTTCAAGCATTTGAGTGGGGCCAGCCCTGTGGTTCCGCTTCAGAGGATGGGGTTTATGTCCAATGCGGCATGCAGATTAGCGGTGGCTGGGCTTCAGGGGATCAATGGCACGGCGTTCCCTGGGTGACATGTCCTTACTCTATGGGAGACGAAGTTCCATTTTCTGTCCTTATGGGTAATGACACCACCATTCAGTCAGAAATAGATATGTGGATATAAAGGGTGTAAAAGAAAAATTATTCTGACACTTGTTAAAATGTTAAGGAAGACTTCATTTGAGACTTTTGCAGTAGGGGAGAGGAAACTCAATTCCAACTATAGCAAAAATAATTGAGGATTTATAGCTAATGAGCAGAGTGAGGGGGTCTGTGGATGGAAAGTTATTAAGAGGAACTTGATTAGCCATTAAGGGTAGGGGGACCCTTGCTAAAGTGGGCCAATGTGCCCAGCTATCAATGGCAAGGGATGCAAGACTGGACTCAGCCGGCCAAGGCCAAGGGAGTAGGCCAAAGCCAAAGGCAAAGTCAAGTCAAGAAGCGGGCTCAGAGGAGCCTGACTAAACTATGGTCAAGAAGAAGTCTTTGTCAGGGGGTGAGATCTCCCATCGTTGAAATGAGGCAATAAAAAGCTAGTAGGAATGGGAATTTTTCTCTGTCAGGCTAAAGAAGCTGGCTAAGAAGAACCATCCTTAGGTAAATATGGAGGATTGAGTTGGGGGCTTGTGTTACTTGATAGAGATAATATTAATAATAATATAATAGTAATAATTATAGCTCTCATTTATTAAGAAATTATCATGCACCAGTAATTGTATATACATTATTTCAAATCCTTAGAAAAACCCTCAAATAGAGTATTATTATTTAATTTTTACAGGTGAGGAAACAGGTTCAGGCAAAGCATTGTCAAAGTCAGGCACTGAATCCAGGTTCATCTGATTCTGAAACTCTGATTACTTTCATTCACTGTTTGTAGTGTGAATGAATTTACAAAGTGAATGAATAAATGAACACATGAGCTTTGTTTCGAGACTAAAATAATTTCTCAGATAAAAAGACTCTTTTCATCTCTGACAAGCCGTAAAAACTTCATGAGCCTCTTATCCACACTAACTTTGCCTCTCCCCCTGGTATTGCTACAAGGCCCCAGGTTCAATACCATAGTTCTGTTTTTTTGTTGTTTTTTTAATGTGACTGAGATGTTTAACAGGAAAGGTTAGTTGGCTGGGAGCCTGGAAAACTTAGTGGACAGCTGAGCACATTGGAGAGCCTGGAAACTGAGGAGGACCAAAGGGTATTACACAGATCTCCTTGGTGTGTTGGTGTCCTGGGCTTACGACTTCCCTTTGCCTATTTCTGACTAAAGGCCACTGGTCAAAGCGGTAAAAGGAGAGAGAAATCTTGTGACTTGTGTGTGGAGAAGATTCGTTTCCTTGTTGTTGTTGTCTGTGGAGAGACAGCTTATTGCCAAAAATGCACCAGTGATTTGAATACTCCAATAGCTAGAAATATTAAGAGCTAATCCAAGCCATCAGAATTGTTGGCTCCAACTCTAGCAAAGAAGGATAAACAAAATCTTTCTAAACTGGGAAATGGTTCAGGATTATTTCTCTTTGCTTTTCCAACTCATCAAAGATAAGCTTTCAACGTCAGAATGTTTTATTAAAACTTTTCTAATTGCCTTCATTGTTTTGTTAATCAAGCTTATCGCAAGTGTAGCATCTTTATATCTGTACTGCTAACCGGGTTCTTTCAAACCATGTTGACATTTTGGTTGTTTTTGAACCACCTTCCCCTCCCCCCGCCCTTTTCATGCAATAGGTCATGTCTTATTAACCTCTTTGAAGATTGGCTGTCTTTTTTAGGGATATTTGAATCATACTGATTTGTATGTGTATAAAATATGCAGTGAGGACAGATGGACAGAAGGCTGGAGTGGAAAGAAGGAAATAATTCTCTTCTAGTGCAAAGTGCGTCTTGTAAGTGTCTAACTATGCCACAAACTCTAAGAGGTCACACACATAAAATAATGGTATGAGCTATTATAACATAGTTGTTTTCCGTTAGTCTCAGCCGACTGAGAGTGATGCTATCAGCTCGGAATGCCTGCACCCTTTCTACTTGTGGCAAACCCTCATAGGCATTTCCCCAACCAGTGCGGCAGCTGGACCTGCCCTGGGACTTCTGTATGACTGCAAATTGTACCTCAACAACAACCATGGGGGAACTTAAAAAAACAACAAAAAACACAAGGTTTATTACTCAAGTCCTGGAGGGTACCCGGCACACCTGGGGCCATAGATCCAGGTCATGGGGAGAGAGAGAGAGAGAGAGGGAGGGAGGGAGAGAGGGAGAGGGCCTTCTGCCTTTATGCGGTTGAGGGTGGTGCCTCTTGTCTCAAGGCTTCACTGTTGGTGAATTCTAAAGCTAGAATTAAAATAGAACCTAGTTCCCGGTGTTATTATCTGATCCACCACTTAAAATCAACTCTTGCGGGGCACCTGGGTGGCTCAGTTGTTAAGCGTCTGCCTTCGGCTCAGGTCATGATCCCAGGGTCCTGGGATCGAGCCCCGCATCGAGCCCCGCATCGGGCTCCCGGCTCCGCGGGAAGCCTGCTTCTCCCTCTCCCACTCCCCCTGCTTGTGTTCCCTCTCTCGCTATATCTCGCTGTCAAATAAATAAAATTTAAAAAAAATTAAAATAAAATAAAATCAACTCTTGCTGTAGTTATATTTTGTTTAAAACAAGGCATTGTGTATTTCATCAAATCTAAGGTGCTTTTGAGGTTGACAATTTCTGGATCCTATGCGAAGGGGTCAATGGAAGAGCTCACATTACACTACATCATGACTGCCACCTGGTGGCCAGTTATTGTATGACATATTGACTGCATCCCGCTTTCAGAGAACTTGCTGATTTGAGAGAGGTTAAAATGAGGGGGGGAAAAGTGCACCACTTTAGAATTGTTGAAACAGGGTATATTCACATAAAAGAAAAATTAGACACTAATTTTACATTTTTCATAAATTTTCCAAAGTTGGCCCTCAAATAATGACTTTGGTCCTTTAAAATATAATTTGATTTATGAAATCCTAGTTGATACCCCAGTGGTGACGGAGTATCACTATTGCACAAAGTAGGTGACACCTATGCAGGCGGCCACCATCTACCTGTTGACAAATAAACGCTCTTATATCCGTACATAATTTAGTCCTGATAATCAGTCAATCTCTATCTTTTCCCCTCTCCCTCTCTCTCTTCTTTTGGAAAATATAGATAGAAAATTATTTATGGTCAGCATCTTCTTTCTTTTTCTCTTTCTTTCTTTCTTTCTTTCTTTCTTTTTTGAGAGAGAGAGCATGCGTTCGCTGTGGGAAAGGGCAGAGAGAGAGAGAGAGAGAGAGAGAATTTTAAGCAGATTCTACCCTGAGATCATGACCTGAGCCGACATCAAGAGTCAGGCTCTTAACTGACTGAGCCACCCAGGTGCCCCAGCATCTTCTCTTTCAAATAAAAACACTAACAGGGGCACCTGGGTGGCTCAGTTGGTTAGGCGACTGCCTTCGGCTCAGGTCATGATGCTGGAGTCCCGGGATCGAGTCCCGCATCGGGCTCCCTGCTCGGCAGGGAGTCTGCTTCTCCCTCTGACCCTCCTCCCTCTCATGCTCTCTCTCTATCTCATTCTCTCTCTCAAATAAATAAATAAAAATAAAAATAAAAACACTAACAGCAGACCTTACAAGAGAGGATTAATGGTTTTTTGTGCCTCTGTATTTCAGCCTGGAAAATGCAAAAGTGTATTACTCTTGTTTCTATTTTGGGCTGTACAACGCAGGAGCTTGGGAGGCCTGGTTCCTTTCCTTTCTTACTAGTTGTATAGGTTTTTCGCCTCCCTGCATGTCAATTTCCTTGACTGTCAAATGGATATACTCACCCATCTTTTCAACCCGGAGGGGCTTCATGATGAAACAAATGGGGCAATGGGGGGAAACATTTTGGTAACCATGAAAAACGTTATACAAATATATGATGAGGATCACTGAAAAAATAGAGAGTTTTGCATGTGCCTGTAGTTGTAGAAACAAATCTTTTCAGTTTAAATTACTTTGACTTTTACAATAATTTGGAACAAAATCAAAGGGTTGGATCTAACTCTGTGTAGTGTGAAGGATTTAGCCTCTTTCTAGGGTTTAAAAATGATGACAAATTGTTATCCCATGGGACTCCCATTAGGCCACCAGTGATGGCGTTAAAGTCCCACTCTGTGAATGGACACAATTTTAGTGTACAAGTTGGGTCCCAAGGGACCCAAGAGCAACCTCAATTTTCTCTCACGGTGCATGTTTACCTGGTAGGTGTGTGGGGACCTCAACAACTGGAACATGAATCCCTCTCAGAACTTAGGCAGCCGAACCTCAGGGCCCCTGGTCGTCTCCAGAATGAGCTCTTCCTGAGGCTGAGGGGCCCGTACTTTGGGGACTCCATGGTGAAGAGACCTAGGTCTACTCAA